TCCTCTCTCTGCAGGTCTCTCCGCCCTTGCGCGTAATCTTGGAAGCTGGAAATCGCAAAATCAAGAATGAGAGAATGAGACTGGAGGGCAGTCTTTTCTTCTCCGAGTTCAAGATCGTCCAACGTTCTTACTGGTTACAATTTACGCAGCCGGCTATACGGCCTAACGGTTCGCCCTTGCATGCTCGAATTCACGTCTCCGCACTGCGCGCATTCGCATGCGTGAATGTCGAATTCTCCCGCCGCCACCGTCTTCCGGACTCGATTTCGCCGCAGTGTATACGTCGGCTATGTTGTCTTTTCCTAACCCGTTCATCACCGGAGGCGTGTCGCCGCTGGCGTGTTCCTTATCCGTCGGCGCCTTGCTGGAGGCGCACATCCAGTCGGCGCGAATTACGCCGGCGCGTATTCGTACCGCTTATTTTGTCCGTTCTGCCTCGTCCATTGCTGACGGCGCATATCCCGCCGGCGCAAATCATGCCAGCGCATCCGCCTATCAGCGCCACGTCGGAGGCGTACGTCCGGCCGGCGCTTTTCTTCCGTTGCGCAGCCGCCAAAGGCGCTTCCGACTCTGAGTTGATTTCCTCCCATGAGCGCGTGATTCCGCCGAAGGCGCATCGCCGAAGGCGTACGGGAGTCCTTTCCGACTGTGAACCCTAGCGCGAACGGCGCATGTCCGGCTACGAGTTTTCCGATGCTCATAACTTCTTCGTCCCTGATCCATCTCCAACGCTCTTGGGCTCGTTAGGACGAGCGTCCCGAGCTCTTTCCAATGTGACTTCAATCAATTGGAACTACCGTGTATTCCGATCGTTATGAAGGTTTCCCTTTCCGCGCTAGCGGCGCATCGCCGAAGGCGCACTCATGGTCGGAAGCCTTCAGAGGTCCGTGCCGTTCTTCTGACGTCTTTAGCGAAATCTCCTCCGGAGGTGTGTGCGCCGGAAGCGTGGCTTCCTTAAACGCTGGAAGCGCGTGAGTAGAGACACCTCAGAAAAGGAGCTTTTGCCGAAGGCGCCGAAGACATTTGGCGCTGGTACATCCGACTTCGCGACTCTTCGTGACCTCGTGACGATCTCCTCAATCCACTCTATTTAACGTACCCTTTTCTAACTACAGACACTGCTTCGGTACTTGTTTTCTAAAATTGTTTAAATTCTGCAAAAAAAACAAAAAGTGTGTTACCACATTACTACTCGTGCTTTGCATGAAGTGGTTGAAACTCTAGAAGTGAAAACGAAGTCCTATGCTGAAGCTACCAAGTCTGCTCATATCTTTTTCTGTCAAGAGCAAGAGATTGAAAAGGCTAATCAATTTGCTCGTATGAAGAATGTGAAAAATTTCGAGTCTACCTAAATCTGAGAAGGAAGAGGTGAAGAGTGTGGTCACCAAGTTCTTGACTGAAACACTTGATGTTCCTAATCCGGATTTGGCTCAAGCTTATCGTATTGGCAACAAAGGCGCACAACCTCGTGCCATTATTGTTAAGTTTGTGGATCAAGCTCAACGTGATATGGCTTTAGCTAACAATGCCATTCTCAAGGGACGGAGGATTTGGTTAGATCCAGATCTTACAACTCTTCAAGTTGAAGCAAGGAGGAAGGAGCTTGCAAAAGTCAAAGAAGCTCAAGAAGCCCGCCCCGGGGGTTGGCCTCAATCTCTTTAGCAAATAATCTTGACTTATGAACAATATCATTTTATTCATTTGTCCTTGCAGAAAACATTGTTTATGTTGCCAATCAATGTAATTTCATTTTGCATATAGGTTATGTACATGCATGAATTATATGTTAAAAGTAAAAAATATTAGCTGTTGCAAGGGGATTATTAGAATTTTTTTTTTGAAAAATGGTAAAAGAATTTCATCATAAAATTCTATTTTAGTATTTACATTAAACTTGCAAACAATATCTCATTATTCCAAATTATCGAGTGAAGTTGAATAGCTTTGAAAATATAGGAACCAATTGTTGAGGTTAACTCTAATTAAGTAGTAACCTCACATTTAGCTATTTATAGTTAAGATTGATCGCCGGTATTGAGCATATATACCCATTATCTCTGTATTATCAAACACAACACACAGTAAACTATCAGGATGTTATTCCTCCCGTGGACGTAGCCATTGAGAATGAACCACGTTATATGCGGGTCTCTCGTGTTGATGGCTTCGTTTGTTGAGTGTGTCATTGACAATTCTCGTGTTTTAGAGCCATTTGAAAAATATGAAGTGTGCTAATTACTTGTTTTGCTTGTGTACAAGATTCTAACGAGTCATATTTGTATGGCAAGATTTATCAAGGCCAAACTCCTTAGGCTAGTTGGTTGATAAACATTCAACTAGATCAAGAAGTCCAGAAAATAACAAATGAATAAAAAAAGAACAAAATTCATTCAAACAACATAAGAGACAAATTCAAATATTAAGCAAAACAAGATGGTGGTCATGAAGTTTGCATAAGAATGATATGAGATAATCAAATACGATGGACGTGGTGACTATTTGATCTGATATTAATTGTTGAAACAAAAAATGAGAATTTCACATATTGAAAAATACATAGCACAACGCCAACAAATTAAAATGTGTTGTTTTTCATTGCCAAGCTAGGTACACAAAATCAAAATTTTATATCAAAACCTAAATAAATCATAGCGTGTAGTAAAAAGTCTAAATCTAATTCTGATTAGAGTCAAATTAGAATTTATATCATTTTTAAATTAGTACTAACATTTTACAGGCTATATTATTTAGAAATTTAAAACCTTATGTATAAATAAGATACAAAATCATTACAAAATTATATAAAATATTACAAAGTTGAAAATGCAAATGTCAAAATAGTTGCATATGTGGCAAACATATATTCCTACATTTTGTAGTTTCATGATTTATCAATTGATTTAACATCTAGTTTAAATTAATTCAAAAGAACATGGATATTGATATATTTAAATAAAAAAGAAAACTAAACAATTGATGATAAAACAAAAATCATTTGTAATCAATACAATGAATACGCAATATATTTTGAATCTCAGTCAATGATATTTGTCATGTGATCAATTTAGATGAAATAAAAAAACATGTAATTATTTTTGTAAAAAACAATACACTACTTTTGCATTATATTTCATGCTATATGATGACTTACAATGGAATTAATATACATGTATGTAGAGTCATAACTATTATTTTATCAAATTAAACATGAAATGATTCTTCAAAATGAAGAAAGAAAACTTCTTACCATTGATATTTTTAGCCTAAACCGTCTTGATAATAGAGACATACATTCTAAATCTATTACAAATTTATCTGTATTAAGATACCACATGTATAATTGATATAAATATAGAGTAGTGAGATGATATTGATGTAGATGTTTGTAAAATTACATTTTTACCATTTACCATTTTAAAAAGTAAATGACTAAAATTATTGTGAAGGTTATGAATTTCATACTTCCTTACTTCTCAATTCTCCATCTACATCTATATTACTTTGCTGCAATCAATTGTTTTTCATTATGCGAGATGCGTGAAGTCATTCATTTGGTTGTTGTTGTTTGATTGATGATCATACATCACATATAGAATCGGGCTATCGAACTAGTAGATATACTTCAAATTTATGATTTATTAGTTCTTCTACATCATGAATCTTTAATTCATGTGAATTATGAGCGGTGGATTGAAAGAAAATTTCATGTAATGGCGGGTGAGATATCTCACAGCTTTTAATTTGTAGAGATCTTTATTGTCTCTATATATAAGAGATAATCAAGGTCGAAAATGGGCACGAAAAACGTTCAGCATGCTTTATTATTATAAGTTGTTAGTACGGTAGAACACAACTAGTCACATTCATGGAATGATATGTTTTTAAGATACTCTACGGATTACATCTTCTACAGCCAGGAACTTTCACTTGTAGCTAATGGCTTGTGGTAGGATATAACAAACGACGTTTTCTGGTCAAGGTTGTGGTTCGGCGACATTGGCCTGAATACTTTGATTTTGTGTTGATGTGAAATATATATCTTTATATATATATATATATATATATATATATATGTCGAATATTAACAATGATCATCAAGTAAAGAGAATACACAGAAGTAGAAAGTTTCGTAGCAGTTTCTTAAGCCCTCTTGGCTTTATTGAAGTAAATTCGATGCTTGAAGGTAAAAGTTATATAGACTTCAGAACGTATGTACCAAAATTTGATGAGACAAAGTTTACTTATTCACTCATCATCTGTAGCGTTATTTCATACGCGACTCATTCATTGCCTTCATCTGCTTCGGATTTGTAAAGCTAAAGAGGTTACATCTTGACAAGCAGGCATTGCATTTGATGTTCTTGGACGTGAAATATAGTAAACTCTTATTGGTAACATAGTGCTAACAGTACAGGTTTTAGAGTAAATAAAAGTATTGTATTGCGTTGTATGTACAGGGCTTGGAACGTTAGTCTCCTTCATGCTTATCGATAGTGTGATATGAGAAAAAAGAGGGTGTAGTTTAATGGCTGAAAACTAAATCATTTGCTTCTAGTGTGTTGAGAGAAAATAACGGGATTTCAGAAGGCTGAGAACACTACCTCCGCATTTCTTATCCACCAAGTAAAATGAAAGCCCCAATAAACATCACTTGCGACTGCTTTGGCCTTTGGATCAAATAATTAAATAATGCATTTAAGTTTCTTTCCAAGATAAGCTAAAGGTCTAACCATTCCCTGCATCGGCAGAATAATGTCTGCGGTAACAGCAACGTTAGGTTGAGTGTAAAACATGTCGGCAAATCCAGTGGTTTGCCTCTGAATCCAAATCAAAGCGCGAGGTGCCAGAGACAAAAAATCAGTAATTTACTTACTTTACTCAAACCAGCATCTCCAATGGCCGTGATAAATAACAAGATGGCTTGGAACTCTCTTTGCTTCTTTGAACTTTGGCCTAGGCAGAATGTGGATTATACAAACCCAACATAACATAAAGGTAGGTCATATTGATAATGACGGCTCAATTCATGATACTCAAGGCATTTGAAACAAAAATCAACATTGTGTAACACTGGAACACAACTACGCCATTTACCCTTTAGTGACAGCAGGAATGGAAAGCTTATAATGCTCTTGTAAATTGACTGAATCTGACAGTGATACAACATCTTACAGGATGGTCGCAACTATCCCCATCGGACTATCTCGAGCCTCGCACTTCTCACATGGGGAGATAAATTTGAGACTAATATCATTATTTTCACAAGCCTGTATAAAGAATATAGAGTGAAGTTCTGAGACCAGAAAACACGGCGTGAAGCTTCAAGGTCTAGATGGACAGAGTAAGTACTCAAGATCGTCCTTACCGGGACAAGCTAATTTAGAGCCTCACAAAGACTTCCATCCGCAGATTAGTTTTCATCGTCAAGGGTCCACAAAGAATTCAGAGCTGCTATCTGCGCCAGCAAAAAGAGAGAAGGTTAGAAAAAGCAAACAAATTGGCTGCTAAAGCCATGTTAGCAATCAATACCCTAACAGTAAGCAGCAATCAGCTCAAGATTCAAACATTCATAATGACTGCAGTGGTATGCCTCATCAAACGGTCCAAGAATCAATTACGACTGCGAAATCATCCTGAAGTTAAAACATCAGTGAGATCTGTGAGAAAACGTTGTGCCAATTGCACAACACTAAGAAAACTACACCGGACAAGACACTGACGTATCATGCCAAATAACGACAGATTCACAACCTTGACTAGTGCATATTCCCTGGTGAAGTAAATGTGAAATGAGTAGTAACTGAAGCCGTTCTGATCAAAGACAAAATTGGCGTCCAAGGTTGAGCATACTCTTATCTAATGCGATCTTGCAGATCTGCCATAAGACTGGATGCAATGGAAGTCAGCTTCTTCCCAGTTTCTCCGGCAAGATTTTTCAGCGTTGACATATCCTGTGAAGCCTGAAAAGCAGTAAAATTCTTCAGCTCACTGCTGACATTTTGCCTTCCAGCCTTGCTGTCCTAAAAGGGAAAGAGAAGGCTATCATCCGAGCAGTGAGTTTTACGAGGGATATCAAGTAAAACCATCACTAGTGTACGCTATTTTACACTCTACGCTATTAGGTAACTGACCGACATCTTGTTGAACTTGCTGACTATCTACTATACTACATTTAAAGTACCCAATTTAGTCATATGTCGTCATGGGTCCCTTTCAGAGAAAAAATATTTAGTTGGAAATCAAGTGCCGGAAACAGACCGAGATAAGACCATTTGGATCTCCGCCTCCGAAACATTATCAACTTCACAATTTCGCAGTCATCCGTTAAGAGCTATAGCCTGGATTATCAGTCTCGATCAATGCTCACAAAGTTACAAGGGAAGATTTCATTGGCCTGCTTACCAAAAACATGAAGTTGAACAAACGAACTCATATTAGAGGTCGTCAATCTTCATACTGACCTATTTCAGGGTTTTTTTCAGCTAAAGTTGACACGTGAGTAACTATTGTCACTCTGTTCTAATCATAAAGTTCTGGATACAAAGTGCTTTAACTTCAGTACCTTCAAAGTGAAACTGCTTTAGTTAAGTTATGGACTCTTTAGTCTGGAATGACTACGCGGTGGTTACTGCTAGCAAAAGTTTGTTTATAAAACTCAAGCATGAAGATATTCACCACAAGGTTACTCTTTCAATGCTGATGAGAAACCTTCGTTCGAATGTTCAGATACTTTGACGACTCATCCTGGAGAACCAGAAAGCCGCCTTTTCAGGTAACGATGGGGCTCCAAAAAAAGATGAAGGAGCGAAGCTATACAGTAGCGTAATAGGGCTCTTCCACGTGACTAAGATTGACAAAATTCCTAGCAAAAACGTAGGTGCAACAAAGCACAGACCTAAGCTCGTAAGGAAGGCCAGCGGCTTAAAGAGAATAGAGGGACCAACAGCGATGCTTCGCTTGTTTCTTGTCTTAACGATATATCTTTGATCCATAGAGAGAAGCAATGAGGTTTCTGAAGCCTCTGAGTAGATCAAATACTCAGACAGGAAATACATCGACAATATGACCACAGGCTGGAAGTAAACTGGGAAAACAAAAGAAAATTGGACATATGCCGAGGTGCAGAAGGGTACATCTCAAGTTGTTCAGTTATATCAACTAGCGTCAAGCACCTGTCTAAATCCCAGTGCTGTGCAATCCATTGTTACTGCAAATTAATAAACTCGTTGGACGGACTCGTCCTAGCTTACGACTATGAGGAAAATTTACGAACTCAATTCTACATGGGCTTGCAGCAATAACTAGAGCTAAGTATCCTTTCTAAATTAGGTGAAAGGGGAAGAGAAAATCACCTGCTGAGTGAGCTTGTTCATCAATTCACTGGGACTCAGATCAACAGCTGATGGACTACCACCACCTTCGTCACGGTCGAAAAAGTCGTCGCTTGAGATCGCATTTGAGCTCTGACAATGATTTGATTTGACAAACACAACTCAATGTAAGATAGACTGCAAAGCAATTTTATAGAGGGCCCCAGTCCGGGGCTTTATCCATCCTAATGATAGTCCTAGTCTTGTTCTTGGTGAGCCAGCTGACTGAAATCCTCCGGTCCAGAGAAAATTTGTGGCCACGAACAAAGACCCAGCCAGAACATTCTTCGAGTTAAAGCCCAGTTTATAAGCTTTTACAATCATGTTGACTAAAGGGCGATTCATCATTGCAATAATGGCAACTTCCGCACTACTGAGAGAAAACAAAAACAAAAATTGTCCCAGCTCATCTTACAGCGAACTTCTGCAACCGCACTTGACTTTCTGAATCGCCAGCCTTATTCTGGTCCCCAAAGTATTGAGCAGATGAGATAGACTTTGCATTAGCAAACTTCTTCTGCGCTTCACCGCTGTCCTCGATCTGCAAGAAAAAGCAGAAGATTATAAGAATCTATCAGGCGAATTAACCCCATCCACCGGAAATTGAGGCAATAAAGACCAGGTATGGCATGGCACAGTATTCAGTTCAGTTCATAAAATGGACGGACTTAAAAAACCAGGTTTCCTTGGATCTCCTTACCAAAAAACGTACCGTTACACTCTACGAAATATTGTAGTAGATAAAATAGAGCGTTATTCTCACAACAAGACCAGCTAATAAAACATATGCATAGCAGTTACCTGAACCTTCGCACGGCTAGAACTGCCAGTTTGTCTCCGGTTATCAGAGTTACTCCCGAACTCATTAAAAAAATCTCCAGCTGTTGAAGGTGCTGAGACATGACCAGTTGCGGAGCTACTGGTGTTGCTAACTTGGTCATCAGTGTAGACAAATCGAGAAGCCCTGGGTGCAGATTGAACAACAGAATTTGTCGAAGAAACTACTGGCTCTGGAGGAGGTTCAACTGGCTTTTGGTCATATATGCTATCACTTGACTGGAAGCAAAGAGCAGAGGAAACATCAGTATAATCCCGAAACAATGCTCGAGCACAATCATTGCAACCCCCCTTCAGTTCAAACTCACATTGCACTCACCTGTCCGTTTATTGTATATTGGTAAACATTCTGTTCGAAGTAATACAGCAAGACTAGACAGTGAAGTGTGAACATGCTCCTAATCTTTAAGGTAAACAACTGTCTGCAGCGAACACAAGACTGCAAATCATTTAAACGCAAGAAAAGAGCGAGTGACAACAACGTAAGCATGCACCTCGGGAAATTTGGTAGCGAAGACCAGGTAACAAGTAATAACACATGTCACTAAAGCATCCACGGATACAAGATACTGCGTAACGTTTGAAGCGTAACGTTTGATCAGATCTTGTCATTCAAAAACGTCATGAAACAGGACGGATATCACCGATCTACGAAACTTCAATATATACAATACCCATCACCTCGTCGTCACGGTAAGAGTAACCCAATGAGACGATTTTAAGAAAAGGTACACGCCAACACAGCCTTCAGCGGTGACAGGTCAGAAGGAACACATACATGGGCTAGAAAGGTGGTGAGGATGGAACACAGATAAAACAATGCAGAGCCGGTAGAGGACATAGTCGAAGGGCAGCCGTATACAAAGGACGAAGTTCGTCACGAGAAACTTTAAATAGAATGGCCAAGACCTGATGATTCGACGACAAGATATTCCCAACCCGGCTGGACCATAAGCGTACGGTAAAATTTGACTCATGATCTATGTCCTATAATAACAAGTTTAGCTCATAATAGGTAGCTTAGACCACACGGTCAGTAGAAAGACACAGTGATTAAAACATACTAGTTATTGTAACTAGACGCAAATAAAAGAAAGAATATACTTTGATTGCAAGGATGGTACACTCGACTCACCAAGTTGATCAAGAAAGCTTCGTCGTTTGATTCAGAAGGGAGACCCCTCTTTCTGGAACACTTTAATTTCCTTAGGAGCTAGTTGATATGACCTCCCGGCTAGTACAATGATCTAATACAAACGAGTACAGTTCTTGTCTTGACTCTAGGAACATAAATATGAGCAGCCAAGTGAAGCTCAAATAGAGTCACGCGCACATTGAGATAGATCAATTCTATATTCGAAATTTTCGTAGTGCACAAAGGTGCACCACAGCTAGGTCTTCCTTACTCTTCCCTCCCGTCACGCTCGATTATTACTTTCTTTCCCCCCTCTCACTAATCTGATTATACAAGTCTCAATTTTGGAGGACTCAAAAGAAAGCATATATTGTGTTCAAACTACGAATTCTAATTTCTGGAAAACGCGAAGAAATAAAGGAAAGCTCTAAGCGAGAAAAAGCTCAACTTCATGTACAAAGACGTGTGCACAATAGCAAACTCAACTGAAATATCAGCTCAACATTCAGCAATGGTTTTGAATGTAGAAAACTGGGTCTGAAGCTGGTGCAGGATGTTTCTTAGCTGTCATCGTAGGTCGACGTAGAAGGTACTTACTTCATAAAAAAGTTCGAGTTGTCTTGCAGACACAGTACGTTAATGGTAATGAACATGATGATTTGAACAAACCAACACTACGACGCGCACACGATATTCAGCGACCCGACCCGACCCGACAAACAAGTAAAAAAAATACAAGGAGATCGGGTCCCAGACACTGAAGATTTGGACTATCTAACATCATCCAAAACTTTCAAGGCACGTAAATAGACCACCGTAACACTTCACGACTAACACTCAATACATTAGGACATCCAATATTATCCTTCCGGCGAAAACAACCTCTGCAAAATATGCTCGACTTCTGTCTTGGAGCTTCAGACATTCAATTAAGAGCTACAGGTATGGATGAAAGTTAGCATTGGTGCACGATGTGGAAATAAACAGGGAGTAGAAGTATAAACAACACTGGGTGGCAGTCCAAGATTAAACAAGAAAGAAGACAGAGGATGAACGCCGAGACTCAGTCACATTGAAGCAACAAAAGCAAAACCACTTTTACAAAGCACCCCCTTACCTTGGTTGTGAGTTTTCTGACTCCCAGGCCACCACCAACTTTACCACCAGTTAATTTCCTTGCACCAAGGACTGGAGGCTTTCTTGTGGCAGAGCTTGGAGTTGGGCGAGCAACAGGCGCAGGAGCAGATGCTGCTTGTTCAAAAAAGAGTTCTCTTTCTTCTCCTTTTCTCTCATCATTATGGCCGTTTACTTGTTTTGGACTATCAAAGGAAGGAAAAAAATCAGGCTCTGAAACAGCAGAAGAGGCGGCAGCAGCTGCGAAGGCGGCTGCACTCAGAGAAGAGCTTTTCTGAACTTCTTTGATGAGGAGCTGTCGGTAGAGCTCAGCAGCTCTTGATGTGTACTTTGATTCAATCTTGCCACCGTCGGTCCAACCATGCTGCTTAAAAAAAACTCTCCCTCGTCCGTTCCCACCAAAGGACATCAACTTCAGTTGATCTTGATTCCACGAGTCGAGACTTGTAGACCTTCCATGGTAAAAAAAATTACATAAGAGGCATTAACACATTTGTAAAAGTACATAACAACCATCATTACGTCAATCCATGGTAATAACCTTATTGGACAAAGATGCATATAAGTATGCATTTGAATACTCGTGAAGTATCTTGTCAGCGCACTGGATACATTGAGTTTACACTTCCGGGAAGCATACAACAGGATATTTAGAAAATGGATGCAAAGTCCTCGAAGAGTGGGGAAAACCACAACCAGATAACTGATCTAATTACTCGCACTGAATCGTTAGCTGAATGGCTAGTGAGCTCTTGCCAGAAAACGTAGGGGCTTACTTTGAGACTCTGCTCCTTGTGATATGGGTAGCACTTTGTGAAGGAAGGGCTTACAACGTCAGGAATGAAAGTAAATCCAACCATTAGCTACTCTTAGTTACATATACTTAGCAAAGCCGAGTACAAATAATTAAGAGGGGCTTTAGAAGCCAAGCTGTGATAGATAAAAACGTGTGGCAGTATAATGACCCCGTGCTGCAAGCTGCAGATCCAACATTGATTATAATGAAAATAAAAGAGTGAAAAAATATTACATAAACTTACGAAAATGAAGCTAGAGGCAAGAGAATAGAATACAGTCCAAGTAGCAGCAGCAATAATAATTAGTGCAAGACGAGCGTCACTGAGCAGTTCCGCAGTTAGCCAGATGGACGGATGAGAACAATCCAATTACAAGGTTCTCAGAAGGTATCGAGACAGGGAAATGCTGACACAGTTCCTATCAAAGATAATAGGAAAGAGAGACTGCAATCAAGGACGAGATGAAAGTATCAAATCCAAGCTGCTCCTACTTTTAGAAACGTATCGCGTGCGAGTACATAGATTTGCAATCAGCAATACACCTGTTGACCTTACACTTCTCAAGCCATGTGAAAATTTAACTTCCAGAGTCCAGTGAGACAAAGTGGTGTAGCTCAACCACATTGCAATCATCACTTGAACACCAGAAAAATCGACGGTGTCATTCGTTTGTACGAAAATGCCTAGCTTTCAACCGGTAATCGCGAGTGGGACGCCTGCAGATGCATCACCAGAATGTCTCCAGGCTCACCCAATGCCATTGGGAAGGGGGTACTCTGAGATGTCTCTATAGAGCTATGTTAGCTCGAGGCCAGCTGACTGTGGAAATACAAATATGAACAACAATCGAACCACAACTAAAGAAGAACTAAAAATACAGCATAAGAAAGATATAAGTGGCCTGGGGAAGGAAAGGAGTCGAGCACACATGTATGGACAAGTAAAACATACATCATTCTTTTCATGCGTTAATCACAATGAACGATCGAGGAACATATACCAAAACAAGACTTTTATCACCACGACGACATCACATCCTACACTGGAGTCGAAGAGAGTGTGTAAAAGCCAGAGTTGGTAAATGCAAAAGAAAGGACTAAAAGCGGTGACCATCAAGGCAAATCGCTCTTCACTCAGCGTGATCATGATTTTACATTTTTACAGAATGAATTGATGAACCAAGATTGCCCTTGCAATCCCTAGCCCGGAGTTGGAAGAAGCTGAGTGAGAAAAGAGCACCAAGTACCCTGTGTTATGCGAAGAAATTGAGCATGCATGGACAAGAAACGTGTACCACAATTGTGCATAGGTGTTCATGCAGTTGTCCGGTCAATAATATCAAAGGGCTCAAACATTGTGACAATAAGACACTACCAGAAAGCCAGTAACTTCATCAAAGACCAGCACAATGTGAAAATAGCTGGCTAAAATTGGGAGAACTCTCGAAGTACGCAGGGTATGGGTTGATTAAGAAGCCTAATTATTAACAATATCTGAACGTACGAGTCAGATGCAATGCCTTGTAGATCGCCTAAAGGTTTCAACTTAAACACATCATAATACTACTATCAAGGAAGCTATCCGATTGCCATCTTCAGCCCAATTTCTAAGCATTTGACAACTTACCTGACGAAACTGATATGGACACCAAGGCTGCGGTGAAGGGCTGAACAGTCGAGGCAGATGAACACTCCATACGTAACTGATGCCCATGTTGGATTCTTGGCGTTGCAATCGAAACACATCTGCGAAGAATGTTCCACGATTAGCAACCAGTTGGAACCATAAACTTGACCAAAATCGATGCATAACTTTAGGACCGTTCGCTCCAACTACTGAGATTGAATGAAACCTACAAGAAAAAGGCCTCGATTATACAGCCCTATGATAGCAATCACGATGTGAGAAACAAAATGATCTCATGTGGTGCTGTAATAGTACAAATTCCGACTTCTTTAATTGGTGGCAGCAGAGCGAAAAAAGTCTTTTATAACAAACAAGTAGTACAGATCTGTGGTCAGACTAAACCATACTTCGCCGGCAGACGGAGACTGATCATGTACATATGTATAGACATAGAGTTCAACACAAAAAAAACCACAAGAAATACTAAAAACACAAACCAGGCTGACTTGGAAAAGTCGAGAAACATTCTTGCACATTCTTGCCTGAACATTCTTGCAAAGAATGTTTCTTGGGCTTCCCAGTGACCACCTACAGGGGCATTGTGTGGTAATATGTGATCTGACATACAAGATTCTTGTAGTGTACTGGGCATACACATGTGCTTGTAGATTCCATATTGACACCAGTTAAGGTAGGTACTACTGATGTAATCATCTTAGAACTATGGCCTTCAATTGATATCCTAATGAAAAGTCGCAAGAGAAAGGACACGATTCGAGGAAAACGAGATCCAGTTCGATAACGAGCAGATCGAGCGCCGATACCAAATCATAGTCAATGCAAAGGAGCTGCCAGACCTAATAACGAGCCAGAAATTTGCCCACTGCACGTCGGCCAGCACACTAGAACGAACCAACGGAGAGAAGAAAAAGCAAAACCATTAGAAATCTCGACCTTCCAAATCTATGACCCCTGACTCTCAGGTCATTAAGGGGTTACATGACCAAGCGCTCCAATCTGTACCAAGGCCTCATAGCTATATCGAGAGGCGAAAGCTTCATTCACCTTGTTCTCTGACTTAGCTCTGAGCTTTCTAAACAGCGCATCTCGGTCTAATGGTTCCTCGCTCGCCATTGCTGCGTCAACCAAATGCACCAGTTGAAAAACAATCGCAGCCCAATTCCAGTGCTTAAGTTCTCCCTCCCTCGACCTTAGGGCAAAGCAAGCCCTACTTCAGCACCTTCCTTTGCGTCCGATCTACAACGATTTGAGATCGACAACGCTTCTTCTTCTTCCCGCCGTGCAAGCCCTGCGATCGACTAAAGGAGGCAGGAGGCAGGAGCAACGGGGAAGAAGTTGAGATACCTCGATCTCTCTCGCTTTAGATTTCAAAGAAATTCACCTCGGAGGTGAGGAAGAGGCAACACAGAAGAGGACTACGCCTGACTCTCACTCGGGTTACGGTCCGCACTCTCTTTAGGCGGCACTTCGCTATTCTTCGGTAGTCCGTCTTCGCCAATAATTCCTTCCCTTTCCACCTTTTCCTCTGGTCATTCTCTTTCTCCCTTTCTCGCCCTCACTCTACAACATGATTTCACCAGACCAGTCCTCACCAATTTCTTCGGCCATCCTCCCCGCTGCCCGTCTCGAGCAAAACAATTGAACATCAGCCCGGACACTTCACATAAAAATGTGGACCCCACTTTGTGCCAATACGCTCAGGCCAAATACAGGAATAGTAAACTACTCCGATTCACATTTGTAATACGAGCTCTGAACTCTACGGACTCACGCGTATATTCTACAGTTTGTTTGAATGATGCTCGCACTGTCATGATTATCGCGGTTGCCACCCCGGGATACTCCCAGGTAACCACATGAATAAGGTAGAACCTGTTTTACACCTGTGACGTTAACCAGTCTATGACCTTTGAAGAAGTTTGCTATGGTTTCATGGGTACACTATGGAGTACTGTACAGGTAGTTCACGTCAAGCGACTCCGCGGTTCAATAATTGACTGCGAGTAAATCTCAACAACGGTGAATGGTATGACCGATATTTATCCGTTCTCACACTTCTTAAATCAAAACCTACAGCCAAAGTACTGTATCCGTTAAGATATCCACAATCTCCAATGCTTTCGGTACACGGGATCTCTCTTTCATAGCGACGAATTTAGAAAAGAAAATCCGTTTAGCACCCATCAATGACAAAATCAATCAGGGGCCTCGTATGATTTGAAATATGTAATGAAATGTAATCAATATTGTAATTTTTATTTTCTACACATTGCTCTCCTAATTCACTTTCTTAAGTCTAGACCTCACAGTTTTATTTAGGGTAGAATTTTAGAAAATTAAGAAACTTCAGCAAATGAAAAAAGTTGACTCTAGTCTTCTTGTAACTCATGTTACTTAGGTTGAGATAACCCTAAAATCCTATTATTTTGACACTCTATAAAAAAATTCACAAAAGCTCTAAGTGATGCAAATAAGGGTTTAATCAATTGAAGATTTTGTGTTCTAATGGAGAATATCTGTAGTGGTGATCCATGTATTTTCAATGTCGGCGAATGTGTTTGTGCAATTTTTATTTTTCTCATAATTTTTTGTAACAAAAAAAAAGGTTGCAAAACCTGACAATCTTCCCATTTTGAAGATGACAAGAAGCATTATTCATACTAAAGTTCTCAAGCTTTTACACTTGCTAATGTGACAAAATTCAACAAAATGTGATGTATTCTTGAACTTTGAGGATCATAATATTTGAACATACATGATATGTATGTTATGATTGCATTTGTTAATGGTATTTTATATGATGAATATTGTATCAGTAAATGTTTTGAATTTCAAGAGAAAATTCTATGTTCAAGCGCAAAAAATCATTGTATGAACTTAAATAATTCCCAAGGTTATGATATCAATGCATTGATTGTTTTTTCAACAAACATCATTTTACAATATGTCAAGCGTATCATTTCTTATCTATCTTGCAATGATCAAATTTTTTATAATTACCTCTATATATGATTTGATAATCTTGATTAATCTTTTGGCCAAGTTAAGTTTGCTCAAGATCAAGTTTAAAAAAGATATTTAAATAAGTGATATTGGAGTGTTGAAATCTTGACTTGAATTGAAATTAAAGCAAGATTGCAAGACACTTACTATCACTTAAATATATATCAAATTGATGGTAAAATATTTCAATATAAAGGATTGCAATACCATTGATACATCATTTGATGCAAATGTTAAGTTGTTAAAGATTTTGATAATAAAATTTCATTCCATTAAAGTGAAAATGCAAGGAGTGTCATACTTGTTTGGTGTTGGATGATTTAAATATGTAATGCTAGCCACAAGTTTTGATCTTGCATTTGTGATGAGCATGATAAATCAACACATTTTTATGATTGTTTCATCATATTGAAACTTTGCAAGAACAACCGATGACATGCAAAGTATGATATCAAGTCATAATGTGTAATCCAAGTTACTTGTAAAATATCATGTGTATCCAAAGCATTAGAAATTGTAAACATCTTAACGCATAAAGTACTTTAGTCGTAGGTTTTGATCTAAGAAGTGTGAAAACGGATAAACATTGATCTGATCATTCATCCTCATTGGGATTTATTTTGAGTCAATGATTGAACGGCGGAGTTGCTTGACGTAAACTACTTGTACTCTATAGTGTTTGCGCATGAAACCATAACAAACATTTGGCCAGAACAATTTCAACTTTATGTCATTTGCTAACGAAAAACGTTTTTGTATCATCATCATTGTTATCTGGAGTCTTGCGTTTTGTGCCCTCGATGATGCTATGTGAACTTTTTTTGGAGCTTTTATCTTGATATCAATGTGGTTTTTGGGCGACAAAATTCTTGAGCAGCATGATCTTTGCTTATGGATGCATGCGAAAGAAAAGTCTGACACTCAATTCATTCAAAATATCAGTAAGAGATTTCAACTTTAGGAGAACTGATCGTGATTAAGGTTTCAACATTAATTGAAAACATTAAATTGACATCTCTATTTTTCTACACCATTTTATCTAACAATCTACAAATGCATTTTCACTTGTAAATATGATTAGAGCTTTAATTAAGGTAGAATTGATCACTACATCAACTTAAATGTACCAGCAAATTGATCAAATTTTCAAACCTTGGATATGTTTGAACTTCAGTTCAAACAATGAAACTTAATACAATCCAATCTAATTGTTTTTCCGGGTTCAAAGTTTGTAGAGAGCTTTTGAGAAGAACTTGATGGATTGTCACCTTAGCTACAAACAGATGATTGGAGCACTGTGCATTTGAAAGCCTGTATGTGTTTAACTGTGACGGAATCTCATATGCAAAAATCTTGATTATTGCATTAGTTTGAGATTTTTAGCTCATCAATTGTTATGACTGATCAAACCAAGATGATGCAGGTGTAAGACTCAAACAAATTTCATATAATGTTTTGCAGGATTTCAAAATAGGAATTTTCATTTATTAGCAGCACAAACTCACAAATTGACCTTGCGTAACCATTGTTGAATATTGGAGAGAATTTCTTGGATGTGTATGATGTTGTCTGCATCTTCGATTGTCGAGAACAATTCAGATGATGATCTATTGGATATTTTATCATCTATAATTATATGCATTGGTGGATGATTTATGGATGTTGATAAGAGACAATCATTACAAAAATCAGAATCTGCGCTTATTGGTCAAATAGTTTTTACATATATTCTTCCTTGCATACTTCCATCTGAATCTAGAAGTAAGTGTTATGACCACTTGAAATATGATTTGTATTAGCTACAGTGGTTATGCAAATGTTGTGACTATGAACACACCAAAAAACACAACGTCAAGACACAACGTTAAGACACACCGTCCTCGTTGCACATCCGTTCAAATTCTTGAACTATTAGCTAGATTTCTAGCTGGTTCTCAAGTTGATTCGTATGATGAATATCTTTTCCATTAAACTAAATACTCAACCTTGGGATACTTATGGCCTCGAGTCCGTTTCTTAAGGATCTTTTCTGCCTCAAATTTCTCTTGATTAGCTATCAAGGTTGGTAAAGGAGGTAACACTAGTTGATTTGTGAATTGTTTTGGTCGTGATACATGTTTTTGCAATTGTGACACATGAAATACAAGATGTATTTTCATATGTGAAAGAAGCTCAAACTTGTATGAAACTTCATCAACACAATTTGATATCACAAAATGACTAATGGTAAATGGTAAATGGTAAATAGATCAAGCCCGTGGGACCCAAAGGGTCAAAAGGCTAAAAAACACAATACAAACAATCCAACTCCAAACTAGGAGAGAACCAAAAGAACCCCCTAGCTAGTGCCCAAAGCACTAAAACGGTAACTAATAATATCTCTAATGTAACAACCTAAATCATAAGGCTCGAGTTGAAGGAGAGAAAAGAAATTCAAGACATCAACTTTATGCGCCACTCGAATCTCTATATATCTAGTACAAGTAATAAACACATGCTCTTCATCCTCAACATTTCTCCCATCACATAGCCTACAAATCCGTTCACTCCTATCAATATTCAACCAACATCCTTCCTCAATTCCAAGCCTATGAGATCCTGTTCTATGCCTAGCAATAATATGACGTAAAGATGTAGCGATCTCTGCAACAAGGTACCCTTGCTTACAATAAATAAGCATAGGATTCACATGAAGTTGATAGAACTGCATTTTATTGCCTCCTCTCCTCCAAATGATGTTGAGAAACTCCTCCTTAATACGCTCGCGAAGGGCCATAGGTTGCAGATCCCAATCCAATTCCGTCACATTCCACCTCAAAGACCAAGTCATCACATCTGCAAACCATCCCTTGGAACGTGTGGCACGCAAAGCATGAAGAGGAAGTCGAGAAGCATCAAGAGATCTCACCCTTCTAATATAAGTGATGGTCAAGTAGAGAGCTTCAGCGTCAAGAGGTAGACAACCTGTTTCCACAAGAAGAATAGCATAAGGAGTTTGGTTCCTTACACCTAACTCTTCTTGTAAGAAGATCTTTTGCACCCTCTCCACACGCTCTCAACTTGTCTTCTTACTGCCAGGACCCCACACTTGTGTCCCATATAAAACTACCGGCGACACTAAACTCCTAAATAAAAATTTCCTAAGACTCCAAGATACTAGATGAGCTCTTCTACATCGATTTAACAATGAATATAGAGCTTTGTAACCAGCTTCTACTCTCTTTTGTACACATAGTGCCCAACTATAATTCTGAGAAAAATCAATGCCTAAATATTTGTAACTCTTCACTTGTTCCAATTCTAGTCCCTTGTAAAAGAGAGAGAACTTGGATCTAGTGCCCACAAGAATGATCTTTGATTTTTCCAAATTGACCTCCATCTGATTTTGAGTACAAAAGCTAGCCAAAGTATCAAGGTGTTTCTGTAAACTAATCGCATCACGTGCTAGTAATATGATATCATCTGCATACAAAAGAGCTTTGATCACAAAGTCTCCAAGTTTGACTCCTTTACTCTCACAATCATCCAACCACCTTTCT